ATATATATATATATATATATATATATATAACATGAAAACATCTTCCTTTATACCAAGCATATCGTATTATCATCAAAATTTGTTATTTTTACTTTGATTAATACATTCTTTGTAGGACTTCTTTCTTATAGCCATTAGAAACCTCAATTATATTAAAATTTTGCAAACCTTTAAAAGGGTAAGTTTCTATTATAACATTTTGTGCCTTCTCACTCCACCGTAGCTCATTACTAATGCACAATCTATTATTGATCCTAAATTGATTTGCATTCCTTGGGAAGAAAAGTATAAACTTTATACTCGAACAAAGTTTGCAAAACAATTCAAATACATTATATCACTTTCACAAAGGAAAACTATTTGTCGCATATATGCATACAAAGAGGGGTGGATGCCAGCTCATCCAATTGGTAAACAAAGCTTGAAATCGGATTTCACCTACACAAATAAATAACATATATAAATAAATAAATATACTGATGTGAGGTGTCTCCCACTTACAAAGCACGTTAGACTGAGCACACATCCGGCTCACGCAAACGGCTTAGAGTCGAACCAAGCGGCCTTAATTTAGATTCCTTTCCAATTTTTAGCAAGTTTCCTCCTTTCCTTCCATTCTTTTCTAGTCCGTCACTACATGTGTTGTATTAGGCTTATATTGCAGTTTTTACATGAGTTTGTTTAGGACAGCCACCTACATTGTTTCTCCCATCTAGGATTGTATCCAAGTGTCAACTGCGGCTCCGGCTGCACCTCGATCCCATGGTGGTGATTTATCATTCATCAACTCCTTTGCATCCCTTCCCTTTTGTAGCCACGCATTCCTTTTCATTGTGGCAGCCCGGACAATAGCCTTTTGCTGTTCTTCCTATACTTTTCCTGCTTTTCCTTCACTGCCTTGCTGCAGCAGTCCTGAACAGCCAACCTTTCGCTATCCTACAGTCCATCGCATTCCCCATCGTTGTCGCCACCCTTCCTCTTTGTTGTCGCTAGCATTTCGGCCCTCCATCCTTGCTGCCATCACCCCGGATGGCCCTCCCACATCACTCCCAACTGCTTGCTTCTTGTTCGGCACCAAGGAAACAACCGACTTACTGATTTCAGCCAACCGCCTTTTCCGCCACTGTGCCCCCTTCCAAAACCTCACTAACCACCCCCCTTGTATCTACCCCCTAACTTGAGTTTGTGTTGTCTATTTGCTATTTTTATTTCCGTTAGTGCACTTGTATTTTCCCATTTTGAATTCAGCAATAAAATTTGGTTTTCCCATTGTTGATTCGGTTAACTCCGGTATCATATTATATAAATATATATATATAGAGAGAGAGAGAGAGATATGACTTACACTGCATACGGGACAAATTGTTGAGGATGCTTCCAATTGATAAAGTAAACTTAATAACATATCTTTGGGCAGCTGCCTTGCCATTTCTATAGAATCTCTTGCAAGAGCTTCTGAATAATATCCTTTGACAAGAACTGGATGGCCACAAGCCTGACGGAGTCGCAAAAGCATCAACAAAATATTTGCATAATTTTGTTTGAGGGTGCCAGCAGCAGCATATGCCTGAAATACGGAACCTGATGCTTAGCAAGTTTCTCATATATAGCTTAAGAATTTAAATCCAGATTAGATTAATTTAAATGGGCATAGCAATAAAAAAAAAGGTTTAAGCTTTGTCTAATCAATTTCCTAGCATCCTTTAAAAGAATAGTATTTTGAAATAAAAATGTTTAAAGTACAAACAAAAAGCCAAACATTTAAAAAATATTTACATGAAAAAAGAGAGATGGGATAGGCCAATCATTAAAAAATTAATAGAAATTAAAATGAACGCAACATATAGCAACTAATAGAGGGGACTGACAAAGATAGATGCATGCAGCAAACCCCATCACATTCAACAAAGCTTATATGATGTTCATACAGCTATCAAGCCAAAGCATTACAAAATTTAAACAGTAAATATTTAAATGGACATTTTAAATTGAACTAGAAAAATTAAAATGGTCCACAAAATCAATTCCTTCACAAATTGATTATACAAAACCACTTAATCACCAGGTATCTTCAAAATCAAACAATCAAATTAGACTTTTCTTGGCTATCACTTTAGAAACATGATAACCTACCTACAAAACAATTTTGCAAGCCTTCAACTACATGATCAGGGCCAATAAGTTAAATTATGTGAAACCTCCTCTTTATTTTTTCTTTTTTGCAAAGCTCGTCTGCTGAATCAGCTGATTACAAACTTGGGGCTTCTATAATGTTTACTAAATGTTGAACTAAATGTATTATTTTTATGTCAGGCTCCATAAAGCATCACAAGAACGCATGAATGGAATGTATATATGGATGTGTATGCAGCAAGAGGGAGGGATGGAGAGTGAGGAAGGGGAGGAGAGGGAGGGAGATGGAGAGAGGGATTGTGTATAAACAAATGCGGAAATTTTCTGGAAAGTTGGAAGAAAGGAAAAATATGAAACTTTGATTCCCAATATTCCTGAAGCCATGCAATCAAAATGAGGTATAACCACAAATTTGGAATTCTGGAACCACCTGCGTGGTGGCATGCCTATGGATCCTGAATTGTATGGCACATTAAAAAAAAAATGAATAATATAAGCTTAAATTGAGCCAACTGAAAACCATAATACAACAGTAACAAACTACAAATATAGTAAAGAACAGAGTAACCAAGAGAACAGCTGAGAAGCAAGCATACTAGGAACTATAAAGACAAAGATCAAAACAGTTTACAAGCAATTTAAGGCGGGTCATTTAAGTTTTCAGAATATTGAATGTGTCCAATTTAATTCCTGAACTCCTCAAATATAATTCAGAACAATCCCTCTTATAGAATTTGATGAAACATCGGCCAAAGTTGGTAGAGTTGAAGAGTTAGGCTAACTTTGATAAGAATGTAAACAGCTTCCTTCCAAATTTTTAAATTGTCACGTTTCCTTTCTTGCAAAGTGACCACTTGTTTGGTGAACTTTTGGTCCACAAATCTTCCGGATAAATTCTAAGTCTGAACATATGACAATCTACTATTATTGTTTTACTAGTATACCTAAGCAAAAAAACCTCAAATTATTTCATACGTATTTTTTGGGTAAAAAATGTAGTAATAAATCTTCAACTAAGAGGGGGGAAAAACGATTATTTGATAAAATTTTTCAATGATTTGACATGCAAAATGCATATGTTGATGAGCTATTGTTGGTCATCAATGTCGGGAGAAGAGAGAGGAACGATCTCACAAGCATGGCTGATGAGGCACGAGTAACAAAGGGAGAGTCCTAAAGTGGGAGGCCCGTCCAATAGTCCAGGCATTGCTGCATTGGCCATCAGTGGCAGAAAAAATGGAGGGATGAGCTATTGTCGCAAGAAAGGAACATAAGAAATCGGATATGAGATGACTAGCAAGCTTGATGTGGCTTTTGCCATTGAGGCTTAAGGGCTGAAAAGCGCCATAGGGAAATACATAAAAGAGAAACGGGTTTATTTTTTTATTCATGGCAAATAACATAACTGGGGGGAAAATTATCAAAGAGCCTTGAAATATTAAAGATATTTCAGGTTGAGGAATTGCCCGCCCTAAAATACGGGCAGTGTCGCCCTAGCTAAGAAAAGGGACATTGCACCGAAAGAGAGGTTGTGGATTGAGATATTTCCTTAAGAAAAATTACATAATATTAATTTCTATCTTCATTTCATTAAATTCATCTTTTTCAATTCAAAATGTGATAATTTTTTATTCAGATGAAATACATTTCAAGATGTGATGATTTTTTAGTCAGGTGAAATACATTGAGTTCATTATTTTTTTTATTTCATGATATTGAAGTTTGTGTTGCTTTTGTATATTTTATTGATTTTATTGAAATGATATTCCAGTAAGAACTAATTCTACCTTTAAAAAAATGAGATCAGGTAGCAACACTTAGGGATTGTCAGAGATAGGTTAAAAATAAAAACTTTTATATTCCTAAAATACCCTCCTTCCAAACGTCCATCGTCAAATTTGCATGCACTTTCCATCAAGTTACACCGTGAGGAAACATTTGGAATCATATTTGAGAAGTTTTGGGGAGTAAATAGGACATACCTGATACTTAGACCTAACCCACATACAGATATTTTGGAGACTATTTTGACCTATTTTCTCAAGAACTACAGAGAACTAGAGAGTTCGATGGATTACATTAAAATCAATTAAAAATTTTACCTAATAAGATTAGGTTCATTAAAATTACCTTGAATTGTTGTCTTGAATCTGCTTCTAGCTTCATGTAGAATGCTCGCTCCTCATGAGAAAAATCCACCTCCTTTAAGCATATTGATTTTGGAGGTAACTTAATAATCGCCTCCCCATTAATTCGGGTGTCTGCACAAAAGAAGACAGTGATTCATAAAAACGGACAAAAAATAAAAGACATAAGGCACAATTCTACATCAAGTTTTCGTCAAAAATAAGAACTGAAAGTTCAAAATGTATGATAATGGCTTTCATTGATCAAGAAAACTAGATATATAAGAAGAAAAAGTAATCCTTTATTTTAGCGGCTAGCAAATTTCATAAGAATTTTTAAGGAGAAAATTTTGATTTGTATAATTCATCCGAGGCAAACAGCAGGAGTGGTGGGAAGGTCTCAAAAAAGCAAAACAAAGCCAAATGAGATATGCTAATTAGACAGGTTCTCAGAAGCATACAGAGCATGACTCAGAGCAAATCTAACGCATATGCACTCCCAGCAAGTGCTGGAAATTTAAAAACTTGCTCTTGGGCTTTGTCCTGACTTCAATTTCCACGGGGAAAAGTACGTGTTCAAAGCTACCATCACTAACTATTTTTGAAGTGCAGTATTGACATTGTTTAACCGCAGTTGGTTATATCCAAGGATACCCACGAGACCAAACAAGTAAAAGAATACTGCAAAGCATTCAATCACTTTCTGGCATAAAAAATGAATATTACCGTTTAATAAGGTAATAGAAGTTTAATATTGGGAATGGAAGTTTATGTGTACTAGCATGAAGGTTTATGCCCACGACTGCTGATTTGCTACAGTTGCTTGAAACTCAATAGCCAACAAGAAAATCCACAAACCAATAGTTCCAATAAACACATTTGAGTAAAATAATAAGTTTGTAAAATCTAAATTCACCATTAGTCTAAAGAGATAGATGAGCTACTCTGCAAGTGTGTCCTCTGTAATCATAAAGTTGTGAAGCAGGCCATGCATGGAGTTTGGGATCTATTATGCATTTTCCACACAAATCACAAAATCTTTTTTTAAAGACAGCACAATAATACCAAATGAACCCTTAATGAAGGCTCCATCTCATGTGTTGCCATTTCCTTGTTGCAAAGCATCTACCATAATTTCAGTTTGGGTGTAAAAACAAATTGAAAATTTGTAGCTCACATGTGCAGGCCCTCCATAGACTGCCACAGAGAATGCATGCACAGAGCAACTAATCCGTCCCTGCAAAATGTGGCTACTCTATTCAACATAGCTTAGCACATACAACATTATGACAGAGCACATATAATTCTACTGCAAAAACTAAATCTAAAAGTAGACTAACAGAAAATGAATAACCATCACCAACTGAAATAATCACAATGAGGAAAGTACCTTTTGTGCGCCGAAGCAAAACAACTCTCAAAACAGCTTGAAGTTTTTTGTATCCCTGGCTTGCATTTCTTGATATAGGATATTTTATGGAGTTGCAGAAGGACTTAAAGACAGCATAAGGATCATACTTCAGGAATCTGAAGTAGCTGTATAAATCATCAATTGAATTCTGCATAGGCGTTCCAGATAAGCACCACCTTCTTTTAGCTCGAAGTCCACAACAAGCTCTAGCTACTTGAGTTCTGTGATTCTTAATCGTTTGAGCTTCATCAAGTATCACCCTAAACCACCGTACTCTAGCAAGGGAGCCACTAACATAATCAAGCTGGGAATCTCCAAGTCCTTTACCTTTTTTCTTTCCCTTTCTTCCTGCATTGGATGTCTGCTTCCTTTTCTTGCTGGCTGCAAATTCTGAAGATAGTCCATACTTCTCCATATTTTTTTGGTCATTTTCATCATCATCATCATCAACCAAAGGCTGCCTTGGAACTTCATTAGTTACAATGGAATATGTTGTAAGAACAATATCGTGTTTAGCCAATTCTTGAGGATCTTTCGTCCGTGCACCTCCATGATAGACTAGAACAGAGAGCTTTGCACAACTTGATACCTTTTCTTCTAGCTCACAAGCCCACTGTCTTAAAATACTAGCTGGACAAACTACCAAAGTTCCAGCAGCAGGTCTGCGATTCCCAGAAGTACTAGCCATCTGCTTCCTAAAAAGATCATCCTTTCCAATGTCTTTCACATCAACCGCATTGTTACACTCATCATCATCTAAATTTAAGGCGTCGGGTCTAATAAGTGGTGAAGAATCTGACATGAATTCAGTCTGGAAACTCTGCTGCTTAAGTATGAGGGCTATCATTGAAATCGTCTTACCAAGACCCTATGATTATGCATAAAGAGAGAAAAATAAGATCAAATCAAAATCCTAAGAAACATCTCATTTGGTGGAAAGAAACATCTACAACTGTATAAACCACAAAATAATGACCTGATCATCAGCAAGTATCCCACCAGCACAGTGCACGCTCTTTTCTTTATGAACCATCCAAGCCAACGCTATTTTCTGTAGTGCATAAGGTTTGCATTAGTAAATCCATCAACCCTTAATGCAAAAACCTAAGCTGAATTGCACAAAATAAACACAGAAATCAAAATTTGCAATCCATTAACTCTTAGTTTCAACAAAGTTTAACATCTGTTGAAGAAGATCAGAAAATAGATAAAATCCATTTCAAATGATAATTTAAAGATCATCTAATTTTTTTTATTTTTTGTAAGACCATTAATAATGAATAAGGATCATGCAAAAAGTAGGATTCACACCATAAAAAAATAATAATGAATTAGATTGTGAGGAAACAAAAGAGGATCAGCCCCCTTATTAATTGGAGACAATTTGATAAACTCCTTGATTAGTTTGTTCTCTTCCAATTTATGTTTATTTCAGAATTATTTCCTTTCCATGTTTAGGCTAGATAAATTGGTAAGATTTTAGATTAAGAGAGAATTGTTTCCCTATATATGTAGCCTTATAGTCAAAGATTTGGAATATGAATTTGGAGAATTCCTTCCTATATTTTTCATGGTATCAAAACTCCAGGTTCGGCTTCGACGGGTTTAGGAAAACTTTCATCGTCCGGCTTCAGCTTTGACTGGATCGCTATCCTACGTCGTTTGCTCATTTGGATCTCTCGACTGCTTCAACCGCTCATCTGAATTGTCATTCAGCTCCGTCTGAATCTTGTGGTAGCCCTCATCTTTCGGCCCTCCTTTCTCTCCTCTATTGGCCTTCTCCTATAGTCCCTGCGGCAGCCCTAATCTAATCTATCAGCCTTGCCCAACTTCTCTTTTCTGCAGCCACCAGTACCAGCAACTCTCTCTGTAGCCTCCAGTCTGCAAGCCCTTCACAAAATCACTCGCGCATTTATACAGCACTCAGATTGGTCACAGCTCCAATCACCTGCTTTCCTGTCTGCAACTCAACAGCTCCTTCCCAAGCAAGCAGAGCAACCAGCAGACGTTCCTTACCTCTTCGGCCTTCCAGACATTCCTCACCTTCTGCAGCAAGCAACAACCAACAAAACTATTTGATTGCTCCTCTCCAGCGGCAAGAAGAAACCAACAATCCTGCAAATAGTAGCAGCTAGCAAGCATCAACCAGGAATTCTTTCTAGCCTTAAACATGCATACGGTTATGACCAAGCAAAGAATAAAAATGACTGGCTCTACTTCGAAGGTTAGTTCATAATCAAAGACCATAAATTGTCCAAACAGCCCCTGGACTTTCTTTCTTTATCATAAACCATATACTTAATGGACATAACTTCCTTCAATGTTCCTAATCAGTGTTTATATACATTTGTGGAAAAATAAAAAAAGTAACATCTCACAGGAGAGGGCATGATTCCTGAGCTCACCGATCCTAACCATCGCACATTGAAGATTTAAGACCATATGGTTGTATTGACCAAACTACAGGATATTCATGAAGGAGAGCTAAGTTTCACCCAATATTTCAACACCTTGATAAAATATTGACTTCAATTGGATACATTGAGTCATGTCTGTGAAAATGTCCATATGAAGCTCTGATGTATAAATTCATCGCCAAGAAGAAGAAAGCTATCAAAGTCTTAGTGGGACTAACTAAGAAATTAAATGAAGTGAGGGAATATCATGGGAAAAAAAGCCTCTTCAATCTACCCATGAAGCTTTTGTTGAAGTTAGAAGGAAAAAGATTAGAAAGAAGTTTATAATGACCGGAAATAAGAGTTTCCCAAATGTTGAAAGCTCGATTTTGTACTCTCATAATTCTTCCCATGACTCAAAGTCACAAATATTGGAAACTAAAGAAAAAACTGTAGATTGGAAACCTTAACATGGAAAGAAGGATCAAGGGAGTTAGGCTTATGTTGCAACCATATCTAAAGCGTCAATTGAACCATTCACCAAAAAACAACTTGAAATACTGAAAAAACTACTTAGGGGTAACTCAGAACAGCACACCAATGTCATGTCACACCAAGATAATATATCATTCTCTTATCTTGTCAATAATAAGAGATTTAGGGTTTGTTTGAGGCAGCTGTTGATTATTTATAATCTGCTGATAAACAGATTATTCTGATAATCTGATAATCTGCAGATTATAAGAATAAGTTGGCTTGTTGTTTGAGGCGGCTTATTCAGAACAGCTTACTGAGAGCTATAGTTGGATAAATGACCATTCTACCCCTGGATTTATTAAACTGTTTGCAACTGAGCTATAGGGGAAAAAAAATAGAACCAACAGAAGGTCATCTTGAAGGAACAATGCAACATCAAAGTAACAATTTTTGTAATAGCATGGATTAAGGAGCTGTGAAACCTTTTCCCTGCATGGATTTTTAAGGGAATAGAGGTTTCACAAGAAGAACAAAATATCATGTAAAGGTTTGAACCTTATAAAGTTCGGCTCCAAAAGAGATAAGCTAACTAGAAATGAAACAAGCACATCAAACATCAGCTAGAGGAAAGGATGAGATGTCTGGAAAAATGCTGTAAAAATTGCTAACGCTTTCTGTCAAGTTCAAAGATTTCCGAAAAATGCTCTCTCAGCAAATTTATTAGCTTAGGCAGCCTAAACCCTAACCATTGTACATCCTCATCATGAAAGACAGAAAAGATGTTGAAAAGAGGACAGAAAAATTATTCCTCACCGTATGGAGAAAAGATGAAATGAAAAACGTTAAAAAATGTGAATTTAGGAAACCAAAATGCTTAGAGTGAACAAAAAGATCCGCTTCGTTCCTCTTCTCCCAACGGTTCGACTGTGGGAGAGCTTCGTTCCTCTTCTCCCTGCGGTTTGAGATCCTCTTCGTTCCTCTTCTCCCTGCGGTTCGACTGTGGGAGTGCTTTGATCCTCTTCATTCCTCTTCTCCCTGCAGTTCGAGTGTGGGAGAGCTTTGAACGAGACCCCTTTCATCTCCGCTTGACCGCTGAGCTTCAAACGAATTTTCCTCTCCGCTTTGGACCGCGATCGGGACGGGATCGCGAGAGAAGGCAGGAAGGGGATCGACACGCTTGGGGACGGGATTGAAAGGGCTTGAGGGTAATAATCCCAAACGATACGCGGAAAGCGGGATGGGAGGTGCGGCGTCGAATAACGAAGGAGATGCGTTCGGCGATTTCCTACCGTAATATAAACGCGCCAACCAAACTCCTTGTCGGCGTTTTTAAAACGCCCACCGCCCAAATAAGCTGCCCCAAACGGGCCCTTAGACAATAGACATAGATTCAAAACCAAATTATATGACTGAAAACTCAATGCTCTAGTCAACTATTAAGAAACTTCTACATCTACATCTGTAAAACTTGCAGATGTATCACTAAAAAATTGCTAGAAAAGGACAAATAAAGCTCGCTCAGGAGATCAACATTTCCTCTGTTTTATATGTTCCACAGTTGCATTGTAATTTAATTTTAATTAGTAAGCTTGAACATGATATGAAATATATAATTAAATTTTTTACAAACTTTTGCGAATTTTAGATTGTGAATTCAAGAAAAGGTAAATGGCGGTGTTGAAAATGTATCAAGATTTATATCTGCCCAATGAAAGTTTCCCTCTAAACAACAAGTAGTCTCACCTCCAATTTTCTCTCAAGTCTCTGAGTTTTTTGAGTCTATATATGTTGAAAAACAAATCATGTTATGACATTGTCATCCGGATCATCCTAATTTAATTATGTTGCAAATTTATATCCCCATTTATTTATAAAAAAAATAGTACTTATCATTGTGAGATTTATCAACTTTCTAAACACACTAAAAATATTTATCTGATGATCCAGTACAAACTCTCACATCTTTTCTTCTATTGTCCACAATGATATTTGGAGACCATCAAAAGTAAGAACCTTAAGTGGGCTAGATAGTTTGTCTCATTCATTGGCGATAACACTGGAACCACTTAAGTATTCCTGCTGAAGGAGAAACCTAAAACTGCCCAAATCTTCCATAGTACTTACGGCTGGAATGACCATGTACTTATTCAAAATGCTCTGAAGCTCGATGCACAAGAGCAGTCAGAGAGCATATTTGAACTAGTCCCGATAGAAGATCAAATCTGAGCCTACATTGTTCGTCGCACACACTAACCTCGAAACTCTTCAAAGTACAATGATGCCATCAAAGGCATACCTCCTCTGCAACTCCCCTACCGCACTCTGTTTAAAACAAAGGATTGTCAACCACAATAGAACAGAAGAGAACTGGAGATTACTTGGATTCATCGCAAGGAGCAAAAGACTATCGAGGGATGAAAGAAGAATGGCCGAAGATTGAGAAAGAAATAAAAAAGCATAAAAGGTGAAAAGCGGTCCCTCATCCTATTTATAAAGCGGGCGCGTGAAATGAGGTGTCACATAATGATAAGTGTCACACCAAACATCCATTCATACTTATTTAAATATCATTTTATTACAAGTAACATCTTTACAAAACTCGAACAAAGTATTTTATAAATGTGTCTTCCAAGGCTTCAATCGGGACATACCCCTTCTGAATTAACCTTCGAAAAGCCAACTCTCCACCTAATCTAATTTTTTCCACCCGATCAGCATCGAGCTTGAATTCACTTAGAGCGGTCGACTCGCGGTGTGTCCTCAACTCACGCACTACACCCATCAGCCCACTTTTCAAAGTGGGACTTTCGTTCGTAGGGTCGTCGCCTCTAAATTTGTGGTTGTCAAGTGGGCTGATAATTCTCGCATCGAATCTTTAGCAAAATCTCTGGTCGCTCCCTTCGAAGGACCAACTTCTCTCGCCAACAGTCCAATTATGTTCATTAGTCACTCCATAAATTCGAATGGAAGCTGCCACCAGTCATACTACTCCTGCTAGGAGCCACTGAAGTGGCCAAGTGAGTTCGAAAAAGTGGGACCAGATACACGCACACGATCGAGCGGTCGATACCCCTCTGCATTGACCAATAGTGGAAGCGCGGCGATCATACCTTGTGGCCCGGTCACGACAGCAAGAGTGGATTCGGCAGCATCTTTTGATGTTTTACCATCCCCGCGATCCTTTGATACGACCGATTCATCTGAATTGAGATAATGTCAAGAAATTACAAAAAAACCCCAACTATCACATAAAATTCGTACATACATAAAAAATTCTCTATTGAAGAAAGGGCCTTCAAAAGCGCATCTCTCCCTCGTGACGGAGTACCTCCGTTTTTCTGCAGTGTTGACCGGCGAGAGTCGGTAACCGTCATTTCCTTTGATCTTGTGTCACTAACCTCTTTCGGCAATCAGGTTCTGTTGACCCTCAACAATCGCGCCCGTGTCAGGCCTAATAGTCGGTCTTCATTGGCAAAACTTTTTGAGAGCCTGCTTGTCGGGACCCTCAGATGAGTCGACTTGATTAGCCGACACAGGTTAGGGTTTCAACCATTTTTCTTTATGACATTTTTCTTCCTTACAGAGGCAAGGATCTGAAAGCCCGTCATAGCCAGAAATTTGGATCCACCTCGTCTTGGCACGTACCATCAGCCATGATATGCCTCAACTATCTATGCCTCAACTATCTAAGGAACATTGACAGCAAAGAACGTAATGTCAACCCTCTTATCCTATTTATAGGGCTCAATGGGCCAAAGGAAAGTTAATTATCGATTTAATTGTCTGAATTTTGGTGTGATTGATTGTTTAATAGTTTCTTCATTCTTATTGTAGTTGTCACTATCAAAGAGCAAGAAAACTCGGGGGATTAATATATATGCACCAATACTGTCGGCACTAATCTCAAAGCAATCAAATGGCCACGGATGATGGCCGAACAATTGAAGCGTTTGAATAAAGTAGCATAATCTGAACCAGCCATCCAACGACCGACCGCTTGATCAAGTCGACCGACATACAATGTCAGTGGATCCAATCGGCGGATCATGCTTACAGTCCCAGCTACCTAAACTCCTTGCAAGGATGTACGGTCGCAACCAGTTGACTGCCCGACTTTACCTCGGCAAGAGCAATCATCACGCAACCAGTCGCCTGTCGATCGAACTCAAACATGGCAGTCATTGTATTACACTTAAATTGTAAAGCAAATTTGAAATTAAATTAGCGCATCAATTGCATTAAAGGCAGTTTTCATAATTGTTCCCTCCTTTTGTAAATGCACAAATATAATCCTATAAATAGAAGGCTAGAAGATTTATAAAGGGACTTTTTTCCCCAAACTTCTCTACCAAAAATTCTCTCCTCTCTTCTCTCTCTCTATCTCTCTCTCTCCCTCCTCTCTCGGCTCTAACTCTCGAGGCATGTCTTACCAAAGGACAATCTAAGATTCAACATTAACAATTTGATTAAATTCCAATAATGCATGAAAAATCAATGACAAAGTACATGAATGAAAAAAAAGAATGTAAGTCAACAATAAAGACCCAGAACGCATGCTAAGCTTCTGCCATAAATTATTGTCATGTACTTCGTTCAAAAAATTCAAATCAAACAGCATATATACACATATAAATTTGAAGAAATCTGAATTTTAATCAAGCAACCAAATGATCTGTTACATTGATCAAATATCCTATTAATTTGTAGGTTACAAAAATTCTAGAATCCGTCCCAAAATTGTAAGTTTTTATTTCAAAGTCTCGATCCAGCAAAATCAGCGAATCACAATTCAACCGTAGTACAAACAGTTTTAGTAACTTTCTGATTCACTAATGCAAAATTAGCAACTCTGGTTGCTTTTATAGTTTCCCATTTCTGCTACACTACCGACAACAGCGGGAATACAATATCAGCTTCTACATAAATCCAGCAGAAGCTGAATGGGGTGAAATAGTAGCAAATCAGCGGCTATCAGTGGAGAGCTGACTTTAGCAACAATGTCAAGCAGTAGACCAGCAGTGAAGGCAACAAAAGTTTTGCACAAGATAAATCCATGAAGCAGAAGAAAACATAAGGCAGCCAGAACCACAATAAGGAGATCCAGATTACTGTTATTTTGAATAGTTTTCTTAAAAAAAACAAAGAATAATTCACCTTCACCAGATTTCTCACCTGATGCTTTAATAGAGACACAGTTAAAAGCCCCTCCGGTAGATCTTCTTCTAGTTTTGGCTGGCCAAGATTCTGTGTAAAATACAGGGAATCATAGTTAAGCTCTGAGAAAGAAGCATGCACCTCTCTTGCAATCAATAAATTCAACTAAATATACAAATTTTAAGTTTATGAAACAAAAATATCACAAAAAACAATCATGGATTTAAATAAAAGAAGAAAGCAAACTAGTAAATGATCCCCATGTAGAAGTACCTGCAAAGCCTCTTGATAGATTGGTCTTTCATCATGTCCGTGACAATGCTCACTAGAGCCAGAAAAATTTCCTCCATCTGAGCCAGACAGTCTGACATTGCCAAAAGATTTTCCAGGATATTGAGGCAAAATCCTAGTTGCAGGTTCATTTTCATGCACAAAAACATTATCTGGCCAAAAAAACAATAAGTAAATCTCCTTTTTATTAACCTCAGACATGAATATCATTCATACACAAAAATATGTTTTCCCTTAAACAGAGTAATAATTCCCCTAGAATCTCTAAATTACCTCTAACTTTATATAAACCTCTCGATGTAGAAATTAATCTCTCATTCCTGAAATGTGCATCTGAGAATTTATGCATATTATCAACATTACTTGGTGACACAGGATAGGAAGGTCTTGCACCAAAATTTGGAGGTCGAACTGTACCCTTGCTATGCATTGAAGCATTCAACTGATTATTGCTAGCAGTTTTATCAATCCAATGAAAAGGCAAAGCTCTCTTTTCCCTTTCATGGGCAAGATTTTTGCCCATTATTTCACCAAGATCCTCCACATATGTGGAACTAGGCATTTGTGACTCACCAAAACCATGAGCTGTTTCAATTCTACTATGATTATGAGCATCATCATCCATACCTTCCTGAGACCATCTATTCTTTTCATCTTGCATGGGTTTTTTCTGTGGAGGAAACAAAGCCTTCCCATGGACACCTGTGCTGGGTACAGATACAGTTCCCGATGTCGGTTTTTGCAAAGAGGATGGAAGGATACGCTTTGATGTCTGTGAAACTCCAGCTTCAGTGCTCCGACCAGAAATATGGCTTGCATCAAATTTCCCATTGCTTATACTGCCGCTGTATGGATTTTGGTGTGTCAACCAGGCATGATCCTTTGGTTGTGAAGCGTGAATTGCACCTTCTGAAGATAAATTACTGATTTCACCTGCACAATTGTTTCCAAAAGTCCTACCAAGAATTTCACCAGAAGTTCCTAAGAAAGGCCTGCTCCTTACGGAAGCAGATGAGGCGGAACCATTACTGTGATTCGGAGGCTTTTGTACTCTCATACCATGGTTTTGGCCTATAAATCTTTCAGAATGATCTCTGGACTGAGCAGTTGTTCCATCAAAAAGTCCGTCAAATTCGAAGTCAATATCCCCATCACTATCTGAGGAACCAATGTCAATAATTTCTGTTTGCATGGGTAATGAATGACTAGAAGACTTATCCATTAAATTAGAAAAAGGGTAGCTAGCAAGTTTGAAAATCTGTGAACAGAAGTGGCTGCAGCAAGGAAGAACAATAAAATTTAGTCATTAATCCAAATAGATAATTCCCAAAATACATTGGCTAGAATAGTCCTCAGAAGCAAACAAACTTGACTTAGATAAGCTGAAGAATGCTGAGTTTCTGGCGGCATATCCATCACCTTATAAAAGTACACTTTGCCCAATAGAACATAAGAAACTGAAAAAAAGGATTTGCACCATCAGGCATCTATAGGAATCATAAAACCTCAAAACACATTTCATAGTCAGTTTAAACAGATAACAAGTGAGAGGTTTTTAACTGATTTAATATACACCATGGTTAAGATGAGGTTTAATTTTTCAAATCACCATTCAAGACATAAAGAGAAAGTGAAACGAATAGTAACAGTCTCCATAATCTTGAAATAACTACGGACAAAAGAATACAGTCTCTGTGAAACAGAACATGCTGATAGTTTTAAATCACTAGGGAAGTCTTTTGCTATTCAAATACATCAACTGAGATGAGCATGCAGTGAAACCTAAGCCAAATCCTATGTTATTAGTGGCAACAGTAGAAATACCCAGCTTCCCAACATTAACTAAGAAGTATGCTGACATGAGAGGATACTATGGGCGTATGATACATGATAGGATGTTGGTAGTAACAATAATCGCACTCAATACCATGAAATTTCTACAAAATTTAAGTACTAAAATGTGTATCAATAAATATCAACTTAAGAATGAGATACTTCCCAATTACTTGCCTTGTTATTGTGAAATGGAAGATGTTATCATATCTAAACTATCACATGTCCTAAATTATTCACAATATTACCTTGCATTACTTAATATTGCAATTATTATAAATGAGAGAGGATTGTAAAGGAATATATCTTTTTAAATTATTGAATTACTACAAGCATATATGCGGACAAAAGAAGTGAACAAAATAAATAAATTAGGAAATCCTCTACAACGAAAAAAACATATTATGATAATAAACACCAAAAATAGTTAGTACATACAACAATTTAGAAATGGTAACGATATCTCACAATCTTAAAGTGCATAAAAGATGTCAATTTCAGTTTTAAAATAGTTAAGAAAAAATAGCCAGACATTTTACCTTCTAAAAATTACATGTATCATAAAAGGCACAATTGTTCCACGAAAGAAGAGTGGCGTGAATCAAATGCAAATAATTGACAATTAACATCTCAAAAAAGGCGCAGATAAGATTCTTAAATAGATATATCGAGAGATGGAGACAAAGGAAGTATAAATAGAGAGCAAGAACACATAGTGTATTCATAAAGAGTATTAACAAAGAGATCGACATGACAAGGACAAAAATCACAAGTGCAATGGCCATTAATGAGCGAAGGAGATTATGGAGTTAAATAAGACTACATGAAACAAAGCAAAATAAGTGAGATGAATCTCATCAAAAGAAAGTGAGGCGTAAGTGACATGATGAAAATGTTGATATAGGTAACTGAAGAATGGATAATGGTTCCACATGGTGGAGTGGTCACCAACAGGCATGTGGCAATCAATGGATGCCTGCGTGAATCAGAAATGCAATGAGAAAGCAGATATGACATTGAAGATAATCAATGAGTCGGTGTCAAATATAAGCAAACACCAAACAAAGATGATGATACGAATCAAGATATAGAGGATGATGCGCATTGGAGGTTGGAAATTTTACAATGCAGGTTGATCAAGTTACCACAACCAAGTTCATTATTTTTTCACAACAATAGGTTCTCAAGCTTGATGTTATGAAGGACAAGATATGAGTCTACTCGAGAGTAGAGCAAGACACAAGTCTACTCGAGAGTCTTTGAAAAAGGTAAAGCCTAAATTCCTTCTATAAATAATTACTGCAAGTGATAATTTAAATATGGCAATATTAAATTTTTATAGTCATTGAGAATATTCTCCTTCATCATATTTTTCTTTAACTTTCTATTATTGCAAAAAAATGCCTGCATATATGGATGTAACATAAAAGGGATTGGTTAACAATGCAGTCATTTACAATTGACTCCCCCTTCTAATATTTTACTATGGTATCATTAGAGTTATAAATTAGAATCTTTCTGTCCTATCTAAACACCTCATTGATGTTGCACTCCTCAAACTTTCAATCTCCATTGGTTTGCTCACACAATTCCCTCAAGCTATGACCCGTTTGCACTTGGTCAACTTCTTCCTCTATGAGATTCTTGTCTCTGGCAATGATCATAGAGGCACTTGGCATCCTTCTCTATTTCTCGCAAGCAAGCTCATCTCTATGAACCATCTCTATGCTCCAATGACAACTACGTCGGAACCTTTTTTCCTCACAAAATTGAACTCACCATCAACGCTCTATATCAATGCCCTAAGTCAATTTTGTTCTTTAATACCTCCTTCACACCTTATATTAATATCGCTATTCAAGGATCATATTGATGCCTTCTCAGACAAGAATCACATTGACAATTGTCTACTCCCCATTCACAAAACTCTCTTTCCAATATCATTCACTCTTCTCGTGAACTGACAATTCAAAATCTTTAACTAATTCACCTCTGAATAATGTTGTTGCAAACCTTCAGTGAGCATATTTTATGACATCTTAAGTTTACAGATAATTGCCATCATATCTTATCAATTATCACATTACATAAGCTATTTATAATAGAAATCAACATTAATTATCATATAAATATTTTTCATTATTGAAAATATTCTTCTTTACAATAATTTTCTGAATTATGCTCTTATTTTGCACGTATATATGCATGTAATGTAAAGTCAATTGAGTAAAAATGTAACTTTATTAAGTCTCTCTCCATTCAAAGCTCATAGAAAAAGGTGTTCCGAAATAGCGACATAGATCTGCACAGACTTATCAAGTCAGAAAAAAACAAGCATAAAAAATGATGTCATGCCAAATAAGGTTGGTTCTCAAAACAAAACAAGTCTTGGAACTGTAAGTCAAAATGAAAAAAATAAAAAAATAAAGATTTTTTTAGCTGAATTAAACTTAAAAATAAAGATGATGTTTTTTGTCTTCGTGATTAAGCTAAAATTAGGAAGCCAAAATCATACAAAGGGAATATACTGAGTCCAATATCATTTTAAATTGAGTTCGGAAAAAAACTATGTTGCAAGTGATTGGAAATGAATAGCAACAAACAACTAGTTATGCCTATATTCCAATGGATTGAAACCCTTTCAAAAAAAAAAACCGTTAAAAAATCAACTTTAATTATCCGGAGTGCTTAGATTGAAAAAAAATGAGTGCAAATTCTCAAACAAAAAACAAGAACCTCCTCTCAAACTTGAAAGCCATTTTAGTTGATTTGGTTAAACCATATAAATCTATTAAAATGTTCATTTTTCTTTGGATCAACTTTCAAATTTGATTAACCAACAAATAACCTTTACCTAACAAATCTTATGAACCCAACACGAACACATTGTTTACCAAAGATTTCAAACATGAGCCGAACACCAATGCAACAAAATTCGAATGAGCCGAATGCAAACAAACAGTCAGCACGCTCAAACTGGCCTATGTATAACCAATTCCTACGTATAAACCTAACACACTACTAAAATTCATAACATGCGGACTGCATCTTTCTCCATACCTTTAGAATGCATAAGCAATGAGGAAACTAAGGGGCTGCCTGGTAGAAGGATTTAACCTAAATACTACCAAACAGCACAAATGAAATCGTTAAATCCTACAGGTTCTCAAATCCCGCTTTTCCTCCGTTAAATCCAGGATTCAGTAAATTCCTTTGGAAGACGGATTCACGGGATTTGGAGAAGCGGGAGCGCGCGAAGGCGGGTGGGAGGAAGCAAGAGAAGGTGTTACCTTCTTCAATGGTTTCTGGCAATAGTGAATCAGATGGAGGAGAAAGATGGGAGTTTCAGAGGTCGCGACCCCGTCGTTGCGGAAGATACAGAAGCGAGGGTTTCGGGTGTGGGTCGGGAATGGTATTGCTGTCTTGCTTTAATTAATTAAATTTTAGTTGGTTTTTAGATAATGACTACCCAAATATTTAAAATAATATTTTAAATTATTTAAATTTAAATTATAATATTTTAATTATGTTTTTATTATAATCATGCTTCAATTAAAATTTGAGTTAGTAAAATATTTTATTTAAAAGTTAGATTGTTAAAATGTTATGAAATGTTTTATTTAATTTAATTTTTTTAATAATTTAATATGTAAGTAATTAATACTTAATTAATAAAAATCATATTGCATGTTAAAATTTAATTAATTTAATAACATCCTAATAAACATTAATTATTTTAATAAATAACTAATATTAAATTATTGTTTAATATAACCACTTTAACATAGTTATTATTAAATATTAATTAATTCAATGAATATTTAATTACTGATTACATAATTATAAATAAATTTGTAAAATTAAATTTAATTATATTTAATAATTTATCATTAATATGTAATATTAAATTGATATTTTAACTAACCATCTTAAATCCTAAAATAAGTTATCAAAAAATTTAATTGAATTTAACACCAATCATATCAAATATTTTTATAGATTAAACATGATATAATTTATTAAATCTAGATTTATAATAATTACTGAATCATATTAAATTAAATCTTACAAGCATCTAAACAACCGCTAAACAAAAAAAAAATAACTTTGGTTTCACTAACCAGAGTTTTTAGACTAAATGCAACTTTAAGACCCCTTTTAATAATAAATTTAAGGGGGGCATTTACACAAATAACACCAAAATCCTATGTATTTATATATATATAACTATACTGCACTTTTTTTTTACTTTTATACAATTTAAATCATTATTAAGAATGGTGAAATACATCTTTTTGAGCATATGCAGGATGACATATATATAAAATTTGAAATTGAGGTGTTAGATAACTAAACAAACACACACACACACACACACACACACACATATGTA